GGCGCCGCGACGGCTGCAGCGCCGAGCTGGCACGGCTGCGCGCCGCCGTGCGCGTTGGCCGCAGGCACCGCGGCGGGCTGTTTGGGACCGGAGGCGCCGTCGCTGTGCGAGCTCGGGCCCCTGCTCTGCTCTGCGGTCAGGAGTGCGGCGGCGGGACCTGGTGCGGAGCTGCCGTACAGTCGGGGCGCTGAAGAAGGAACCCTTTTCGTTGGGGAGGGGCTCGGTGTTCCTTGTTTGTTTCAAAGTTTACCTCGGGTTTTCCTGAGGTTTTCCATGGGAAATCGAGGTTGAACTTATGGGAAAAAGGGGCCTTGCTCCTTATTTACGGTTCCCTAGGTCAACGCCCCGACTGTAGACCACGAGCAGGGCCTCGGCGATCACGGGCAGCCTCGTCCAGCAAGAGCCCAAAGCCCGGCGTCGGCGCAGGCACCACCACCTGCGCTGCTGGCTGGTGGACAGCGGCCATGGCGGACACGGCAGGCAACTGAGGGAGGCCTGGAAGCGCATCCTCGCCTGGGTCGACCTGCGCAACAACATCATCAGAGAGCGCATGATCCGCTCTGGCGCCGACAAGTGGCACGGCGTCTGGGCCCCGCCAGTGCCTGCTGAGGACAAGACAAGCACCAAGCATCTGAGCACCAGGAGAACGCAGCCAGGCACGCCCAGCGGCCGCAGCCCGCTGCGCCGCCTGAACCAAATATCCGCGAGCCCCGGATAATTGATCATACCCCCCCTTCCCCCCTGAGAGTTGATTCCCCCGGCCAAGACAGAGTTGGTCGGGGGAGAGGGGCAGCAATGCCGAACTCAATTTTCGCGGGGGAAAGTAACGAATCGATGTTGCTATCTTCTTTTGTTGAGGCTTCCTGGCGAGGAGCGCCAAGGATCTGAAGAGGGCGGGCAAATTGTGGGAAACATCCTCGTCGTCGTCGTCGTCGTCGTCGTCGTCTTCCTGCGACGATGACGACCTCTTCTTTCGTCGTCATACATCCCTCATGCGACTTGCCAGGACAAGTCGTTTATTCTCCCCCCCGAGACCCCGAACTTTCTATTATCCTTGGGTGTCATTCTCAGGGGCATAGGGTTAAACGGCGCGATCCACATCCGACAAATATATTCATTCCGCACGACCCGACCTCTCGTAAACGTGGTTGGTTGCCTGGCTGGTGGCGGGAGCGCTCGCCACCGCCTCCAACCACCGTTGATGCATGCGCCCACTGGTCAGCAAATTCTCGTGGAAGACAGCACGAACTGTTTTCTCGTCCAGGTGGCGTTTCGGAGCGGCGGCGCATGGTCTGTGCGCAATGGCCAGGGCGAGCAGAAGCCGCAGCACGGACACCATGGTGCGCATATGATGCTAAGAAGGCGAAGCGTCGAACACTCAATTGGACGGTGAAGTGGCCGCGTCAATGCCTTGCAGCCGTGGGCGTGCACTTCCCTCCGCCGGCCACGCCTGCCCACGCCCCCAGCCCGCCCAACTAGGGGGCCACATGCGAACCCTACCCCTACCCCCCACGAGTTCTGAGGGGGAGGGTGGGGTTCACTTCGTTCGGGAGCTCCCGCGCGAAGTGAACCCCACCCTCCCCCTAAGAAATCGTGGGGGGTAGGGGTAGGGTTCGCATGCGGCCCCCAGCCCGCCCAACAGCATCCGCCCGCCAAACACTGGCTCCATCCAGCTGCCCCATGCGATGCTGCATGCTGCTCGGAGCCCCCCGGACGGAAGAGCCGCCCGGCGATACGTGCAGTCCTCCGCCCCCCCCCCCCCCCCGAGATCCCCTCGGCCGGGCCCCACGGCGGGGTCCACTAGGCGGCCGCCACACTTCGGCACGACCCTCGCGCACTTCATTCAGGAGGGAAAGAAACACACAGACACAATTAATCTTCGATTTCCAGGAAACTATAGGAAAATATGGGAAGTGGAAGGGGAGACAAAAACCTAGAAACTACAGGGAGATATGGGGAATCCTTTTATTTGTGTGTATTTATTTGTGTGTGTCCCAGTTCCCCTTCATTCATGGCCCCACAGGGGTGGGAAAACAATATTTCCCACCACGCGCCCCTAGGGCGGCTGGTGGAGGTCTGCATGTACTGTTTCCCCCCCGCAGCGCGACATACATGTCACGGATTTGGTGCGTCGTGGACTCGTTGCAAGGCGGGGTTCCGAAACACAGGGCTCAAATGTCTAAGCGGGGGGCAGTGGGGTCCGAGGAGGGGGTGGGGGCCCGAACTTTGTTGTGGGTACCATTCCGCAGCCATCCCTTCAAGGCAGGTGAAACAACTTAGTTACACCCGCACACGCACACACACAAACAAACACAACACACACACACGCACACATGCACACGCGCACACATGCACACACGCACACACGCACACACGCACACACACGCACGCACACACGCACACAAACGCACACACACGCACACACACGCACGCGCACGCACACGCACGCACACGCACGCACTCACACGCACACAAACGCACACGCACACACACGCACACG